TACTATGTGAGATTGCCTTGCCTTCCTACACTGGTTTATCTGATGACATTTGGTACCTGGCTTGCATAACTTCTCCTCCATGCTGGAAGTAGACCAAAATGTGCTTACTTTTGTATTCACTCTTAGGAGCTTCTTGCTGCCTTTCTCTTTCACACCCCCTAATTAGGAGGACCTCATCTCACGTTCTTTGGGCATGTGGTCAGGAGAGACCAGTTTCTGGAGAACAGCTTGCTTGGTAAAGTAGCAAAGCAGCAGAGAAGAGGAAGACCTCTAACAAGGTGGACTGACTCAGTGGCTGCATTGGGCTCAGACATCCATCCCCATTGTAAGGACAGTGCAGGACAGGGCAGTGCTTTGCTCTGCTGTACGCGGGGCGGCTGTGTGTCAGAATGGGCTGCTAACAACTGTCAGAAAGATAGACATTCTTGTAAACTTTTTCATTTTTTTCCTTGTAGACTTTAAAAATAGAAATAGAAGCAATCAAAAAGCAAATTTTCGGCATGTCAACTTTTACTTATAACTACTTGTTGGAAACATTTTCAATTTGATAAGTCCCAGTTTTTCTTCCCCAGCATTCCATAAATTATGTCATAGAAACGAAGTCCTAGAAATGTAGATGGTGCCTTTGGATTAGTTTATGTGTTTTCCTATTGATGAGGAACCCTGGTGGTAGATGAGTTGAGTTGCTAACCACAAAATCTTCACGTCCACCCGTGGCTCTCAGGGAGAAGAATGAGACTTTTGGATCCTATAAAGATTCACAGCCTCAGAAACCCAGTGGCAGTTCTACTCTGTCTTCTCAGGTTGCTGTGGGTTGGAATGGACTCGGCAATGGTTTTGTGTTTTTCTTACTCATGGAGGAGCCTATGCTTGTTTGCATAGGAGCCCTGGTGACACTGTCGGGTAGATGCTGAGCTGCAAACTTACCCACCAGCTTTGCTAGAGAAGGTTTACTGCCTTGGAAACCAGATAAAGGGTTTTTGAGTTAGAATCGATTGATTGGCAGTGGGTTTGGTTTGGGTACGTCTTTATGTCAAACTTAACAAAGAGCATGGCCCTTCTGTGTGAGCGTTCTCTGATGGCTTCCTAGTTAGGCAGTGGGAAGGTTGTCTAAGCACAGATTCTGGGGCTAAGACGTAGCCCCGAACCTGGAGCTTTCTCTCTTTGTTCTCCCACAATATCAGGGACAATCTCCACTTTGTTGGACCTCGTAGAGTGACCAATGGGGAAAGGCTATAATTTTTTACTGACTTGAGAAGTGGACTATTTTTTCTTCTTTTTAAAAGTTTTATTGGCATATATTTCACAAATTGTGCAATTCAGTAGTTCAGTCATATTACTAAGAGTTGTACTGTCATCACTACAGTCAGATTTAGCACATTTTCTTCATATTATACTCTTCCTTATTAGCTTCCCATTCCCCCTAGCCTCCCCTGCCATAGTCCCAAACCAAGAACAGTGCTCACTGCTATTGAGTCAGTGCTGATTCATAGCGACCCCCTGTAGGTTTCCAAGACTACAACTGTGTACAGGAGCTGCTGGCAGTTTTGAACTGCCGACCATGGTGGATTGAAGCCCAACACATAACCACCAGGGCTCACCATACCCCAAGAAACCATGAATCCAATTGTGTCTCTATAGATACACCTATCCTGTATTCTACAGAAAAGCACTAAAACAAACAAAAACTAGGAATTATGTTGTTATTGTTGTTAGGATCATCTTTTCTTAGCACTTTTTCTATGCTTTTGCCACTTGTATTTCTTATGTAAACTTCCCAAAATGTTCTGTTAGTTTCCTTCTTTTGAGATATTTATCTTTTTCTTAATGCTTTGTAAGATTTCTTTATATATCCTCTTCATTGCATATAAATATTCTTTACTCCATTGCTTGCCCTGTGTTTTATGTCATTCTGCTTTCTGTGTCACAAAACTGATCATACAAATTTTTTAATGTTTTATGAGTACTCTCTTTTACCCCCTTGTTTAGGACCCCTACCCTTTTCAATCTCAAGGTTAAAAGAAATAGCTCCATTATTTTTCTTTAAACACTTTTATAGTTTCTGATGTTTTAGCTCTTCAGACAGATCATATGGGAATCTATTTTTATTTCAGTGTTAAATAGATTTTCCCCTTTGAGTGGACAGTTCAGTGCTCCTTTACTACATATAAGCTAGTCCATTCTCTCCATGCTGGTTTTCCTGTCACTTTTATCAAATGTTAAACTTTCATGGGTCGGTTGCCAGATTCTTTATATTTAGTTTCTTTGGTCGTTTATGTATTCTTGGACAATTGCTTGAATTGTTTAAACTTCATATAGTATAATTTGTATCAGATAAGTAAATCCTCCATTTCTTGTCTATTTGTCAAACTGTGGTGGTTATTTGTGTGTTGCTGTAGGTAAATTTTCAGTTCTTCCCTCCCTAGAAAGTTCAAAGGTATTCTCATTATTTTAGAATTATTTTTGTCATTCCTCTTTAAATCTGATGGATATTCCATTGAAATATAGATTAGGTTGAACATGACCACCTTTTATGCTTACATAGTGATTTCAACCTAACTTCCCTCCCTGCCTATTCCCCAAATGAACATCACATAAGTTTATTTCCAATGTAACAGCAATATTAAAATTGACAATTTTAATTCTTGACTGCACCAAGTAAGCTTAGCCATTTAAGTATTTTCAAAGTTATTTCCTCCAAAAACCCAAGGGAGCTTTTCCCCCACCAGCTCACACCATAGCACGCACCGTGGTTTCCCAATCGTTCGTTCTCTTTTTCAGAGCATTTTCAGTGGAGGAGGAAATTGCTTTGGGAATATTTCAGAACTTCTTCACCCTAATAAAAGTGAATGGGAACAAATAATTTATTGTATAGCTTTCTCTACAGGTTCTTTTAGAACCAAAATGCAATACTATATGTAGTATGATTTCTTTTTCAGTATGATTTTTATTTATTTGCCCCACAATAAAAACTCTGTCCTGAAAAATATAATTGGAAATCTATGAGTTTGCAGTATTTACTGACTGACTCATGGTCATATGAACTCGAATGTAACTATTTAATACGTGATAGATGCAAGAGAATTCACTCTCTACCGATCCTGGCAATTTAGGTGAAGCCACTGACTAACTAGAGTGGAAAAGAAAATTCTAAGAGAGGGAGCCGATAGCCTCAATTCAAACTTTAGTAATTTCCCTTCCCTTTTGAAAGAACATGTACTTAGTTACCATGAGGCAGCCATTTTGCTTTCAGTAACCTCATGTAGGGGCACATTTGTAGGGCTGAGTCTAGTCCAAGTGAAAGTGTTATAGAAATAGAGGCAGTGCCCTCTCAGAAACTCATTTACTGTACATCCAATCTAACCCTTTTATTGGACCATAAAATTCTAAATCTTTACCTAAAAGTTTAAATTCTCTATAGTCGAAAAAGATAATATTAGCTAACTTTTAAAAACATTTTTGAGAGGATGGAGATTTGCTTATTCTCTTCGGGTATTTTTTTAAAAAACATTTTATTAGGGGCTCATACAACTGTTATCACAATCTATACACACATCAATTGTGTAAAGCGCATTTGTACGTCATTCTCAAAACTTTTTCTCTCCACTTAAACCCCCGACATTAGGTCCTCATTTTTCCCCTCCCTCCCCGCTCCCCCCTCCCTCATGAGCCCTTGATAGTTTATAAATTGGTATTTTGTCATATCTTGCCCTGTCCGATGTCTCCCTTCACCCACTTTTTGGTTGTCTGTCCCCCAGGGAGGAGGTCACATATAGTTCCTTGTAATCGGTTCCCTCTTTCCTACCCATTCTCCCTTTACCCTCCCTGTTTCGCCACTCACACCACTGGTCCTGTAGGGCTCATCCGCCCTGGATTCCCTGTATTTTCAGTTCCTATTTGTACCAGTGTACATCCTTTGGTCTAGCCAGACTTGCAAGGTCGAATTCGAGTCATGGTAGTGGGAGCGGGGAGGAAACATTTAGGAACTAGAGGAAAGTTGTATTTCTCATCGTTGTTACATCGCACCCTGACTGGCTCATCTCCTCCTCTCTTCGGGTATTTTATGGGCCTCTTGCAACATAACTACAGAAGTATTTTTATTTTCCTAGACTTTCAGTGGCGTACTGATACTACAAGCAGCTAGGGTATGTGGTGTTTATTTATTAATTTTTTCCAGCTCAAGGCTGTGTTTTCTGTAAGGCTCTGCTGCTAATATTATAGATTATAAGTGAAATAAACTTCTCTTTCCCCTTAGATGTGTTTGTAAATTGTGACAGTTTTAGAATACTATAATACTTCTTTACTCATGTGGCAGTTATTACCAGCTTTTAGGTCGCAGATGAGGCAGCTTATACACCCACTCTTCACTTATCAGCTCTCTTTTTACCTGACATTTCACATTTATAGCAACAGTAAAAAAATTTGCTATTTGACTACTTTGTGCATTAACGTACATCAGGCAGTAAAGAATGAATGCAGGGGTGTGAGATGAGAGTAATGTTGGCTGTGATTGTGAGAGTTATGTGTCAATTTAGCCCAGGCATGATTGCCATTGATTCGGCGATGATGTAATGGAGTAGTCATCCTCCATTTGTGATCTGATGTGGTCATCCTCTATTTTCCCTGAATGGCTTGTCCTTGGTTAGAGAGAGACTGTAGTATGTTTTAAGAAGAAGATTCTTTTTTCTTTCTTCCCCTAAAAGGTATTACGGTTAGTACTAAATGTTTTATCTAGATAAAAAAGAAGCTTTTCATTAAAAAAAAATCTTTGTACTTAATCATAAAATAAATGCATGTTGCTGGGCTGTTTATCTTGACATGCAGAAAATTCACAAGACCGTATCTTGTTGATAGGCAGAGGAAAATCCATTCTGAGGTAACAGCACAAAATTGCACAAATAAACAATTGAAAAAAAATTAATACCATGATTCTAGATAGTTGAACTTGCTTGCCATTCTTCTCCAGTTTTAAACAGTATACTTTGTTTATTCTCACACAGGTCTTCAAAGTCTACGTTTTAGCTCTCAGCGCTCAACTTCCTTCTCCCTTAAATTATTATAAACTTTTGCTGCTGTTTAAAAATCGTGAAGATGTCTCGCAGTCCTGATGCGAAGGAAGACCCTGTGGAATGCCCTCTTTGCATGGAGCCCTTGGAGATAGACGACATCAACTTTTTCCCCTGCACTTGTGGCTATCAGATCTGCCGATTTTGTTGGCATCGAATTCGCACTGATGAAAATGGGCTTTGTCCTGCATGTAGAAAGGTAAATATGCACCAAGAACCCTCTGTCCAGATTTTGCTTCATGCATAAGTACATGGATTTAAGAGCCTCACTTTTCAGGTTTCTGCTGAGGTTATTTGTAGTGTTGTGTTTTTAGAATCTCACAATCTAGTGATCTGGCCATTGGGCTAACAAGGACTACTGTGCTTTTATTTTGAAGGACTTTTTGGCTCTGGTGACCCCAAGATTTAATGCAGTTATCTATCATTTAAATATAGAATTTGCTTTCTCATTCATATTTCTCTATATGACTTAAACTTTCTACTTAGCTGTTTGAAAGAGATCTTGTGTTCATTACCAGCAACTTTTGAGAAATCGAAAATGTGCTTAGGTACCTCTAAGATAAAATGTAATCTACTTCTTGACTTCTTTACTTGATGATTTATAATAAATCTCAGAAGCCTAGGCATTCAGGTGTTTTGTTTTGCCTTGTTTTTTAATGTAGAGCACTGCGGTATGTATTTAATTCAACAGAAAAAGGTGTTAGGTTTTTGTAAGTCTAACTTAGGTCTTTGTAACTTAATGAAGTTTATATATTACATGTAATTACACATATACAAGTAAATATATGTTGTACTTTTTTTGTGTTTGCACTATTGAGTATATTCCAAATTATAGGAACTATATATGAAAGAACACAATTTCCCCCTTAGGGTTTCTCAGGCTATGATATATATTTTGTTGTCATTAGGAATATATACAGCAAAAATACAAAACAAAACACTTTACCACCATTGAGTTGAGGCTGACTTCCAGTAACCCTATCGGACAGGGTAGAACACCTTCTGTGGGTTTCAGAGACTAACTCTTTATGGGGAGTATGAACTGTTCGCAGTCCAGAGCAGAACTACTGTGACACCAAAACTCCCTCCACTTCAGCCAGGTCTACATGTACCAGCTGTGTCTACACTGGCTACACTCTTCACGCTGTGCACTGTTCTCAGTCTCCTTTTCTTCTTTTTTTTTAAATTGTTTTATTAGGGGCTCATGCAACTCTTATCACAATCCATCCATACATACATCAATTGTGTAAAGCACATTTGTACACTCATTGCCCTCATCATTCTCAAAATATTTGCTCTCCACTTAAGCCCCTGGCATCAGGT